TGGGTCAGGAAGACAGCCCTCTGCTCGGCCCACAGTCCCGGCTCATTCGGCTCCTCCGTTCTGTCTCATGTCTTGGTGTGGCTGCTTCTGAGATGGCTCATTTGTTTTTTTCTTTATTTAAGCTTTACTGGCACTTCACATCATACAATTCAATAGTTCAATCATATCAAGAGTTATATAAGCTTTACCACAATCAATTTTAGAACATTTTCTTCTTCCGTGTATTCACTGTAATTTTTGTATTTTCCCCCCAAGTTTGGAAGATATATGCCACAAAATATTCACCAGTTCAACAACTTCTACATGTGTAATTCCATGCCATTGATTATATTCTTCATGTTGTACAGCCTTTATTGATCTCCCTCTCCAAATTGTTCCACCACCATTAAAATAAACTCAGTGCCCCCTGAGCAAGAATGCAGTCAAGTTTGGCTGCTGCTTCTTTTTTATTTTAGTAGTTTCCTTCATATCATATTCATATCATATATTTCCAAAGTTAAATCACGTTTAAAAAGAGTTGTATATATATCACTTACAATTAGTTCTAATGCTCCTCCCTCCTCCACTCCGCATTCATTGATTGCTCCCCAATTCCTCTCCTCCTCCCCAAACTCCCTCTTCCTAATAAACCATTTTATCAGTTACTGTCTCTGTGCATCCACTCCTTTGCTTCCTAAAGTGGGAGACCTAACAGAAACAAAACACAAAACCAAAATGAAACAGAAAGAAAACAATAATAACAAAGATGAAAATAAAGAGTTAAAAACAAAAGACCACCAACAATATATATTCTTAAATTTTAAAATAATTTTTATTGGGGGCTCTTACACCATTCTATACATTGTATCAAGTGTATTTGTACCTATGTTGCCATCATCATTTCCAAAACATTTTCTACTTGAGCCCTTGGTATAAGCTCCTCTTTTTTACCTCCCTCCCCCCACCCTCCCACCCTTGTGAATCCTTGATCAATCATATATTGTTATTATTTCGTATCTTACACTGTCAGTTGGCTTCCTCCACTCATATATCTGTTATTCATCCTCTTGGGGGCGCTATAGATCCAACCTTGTGATGAGTTCCCCCTTGCTCCCCCTTACCCCTCCCAGGTCATCATCGCCTTACCCTCGTGATATCGCTCCTCCCACTACTGTTCCTGAGGGTTTTATGTCCTGAATTCCATGTGTCCAGAGCTCTTATCTGTACCAATGTAATTTCTCCGGTCTAACCAGATTTGTAAGGTAGAACTGAGTCTTGGTAGTGGGGGCAGGGGAAGGAAGCAGTCCGGAACTAGAGGAATGATGTGTTTTGTTGGTGATACACTGCACCTTGGTTGAATCCTCCCTTCCTTGTAACCTTTCTGTAGGGGGACATCCAATTATCTATAGATGGGTTTCGGGTCTCCATTCCAACCCCCCTTGTTTGCATCGATATAGTTGTTTGTTTTGGATATTTTGATACCTGATACCTGATGATACCTCATGATCACACGGGCTGGTGTGATTCTTCCCTGTGGACTTAGTTAACACCTCACTTAAATGGCTGCTTGTGTGAATACAAGCCCCAGACATTATTCCAATTGATAGGCAAGCACCGTCTGCTTTATTCACCACACTTTCTGTAGCACCCTTATGTTCTGTGATCTCTTCAGGAAGATGAGTATCAAGCAGGAAGATGGCTCATTCTTATAGCCAGGGGAGTTTCAAGTAGACATAATCAATCTCTTTTATTAGCGTTTCACCTATTCACCCAGTGGGAGTAAGGGAAGCATGAATGGAAGAGCCATTTTAAGAAATTTCACTTTCTGGGGTGCTTGCAGGAGAAATGGGGAGCTAACAACAATGAACACAAGAAAGAAGAAAATGTTCTAAAATTGACTGTGGTAACGATTGCACAACTCTTACATATGATTGAACTTTTGAATTGTATGACATGTGAATTATATGTCAATAAAATGATTCTAAAATAAATACAACTCTTCTTTTAAAAAGGAAGAAATTTCTTTCACTCACAACTGCAAAACACCTTTGTTCAGTGTTGCAGAGCAAAGATGTCACTTTGAAGATTGAGTTACACCTTATTCAAGCCATGGTGTTTTCAATCGCCTCATATGCATGCAAAAGCTAGGTCATGAACGAGGAAAACTAAAGAACTGTGCCTTTGATTTATGGCATCGCCAAAGAAGAAAAAAACCCCAAATCTGTCTTAGAGGAAGTGCAACCAGACTGCTCTTTAGAACAAGGACGCTGAGGCTTATGTTTGTCTTACGTTTGGTGGCCAGCACTTCCCGGAGAAGGATATCACATTTGGTTAGCAAAAGGGAGGAAAACCCTCAACAAGGTGGATTGACACAGTTGCTGTAACAATGAGTGCAAACATGGCACTGAATGTGAGGATGGTGTGGGACCAGGCAGTGCTGCACTGTTCTTGGGGAGAAAAGAGATCCCGGCTGATAGTAGAATTGATAGAGACGTGTTTATTAAGTCTCCATCAGAACAAAGGAGAAGACACACTCCTCTGGATGAGGATGCGGGAGAGCAAGAGCAGGAGGCCATGATGGTGTCTAAGGATCCGGAGAGGCATGGCCACTGAAGTAAGATAGGGGAACAAAGGAAACCGTCATACAATGATTAGTGGCAGATAAGTTAATGACAGCTGCGCGCACACACACACATACACACACACACACACACACACACACACACGATAGAAACAGAAAAGGGACCATGATTGAAATCCACACACTACTGCAGATAATTCAGGACCCTAGTACTCCAATATTGAAATACTGAGCAAAGCTTTTCACATTGTTGGCCAATGGTCAGAAAGACCTCAGTGGGCGACATGTGGACTCAACCTATGTGGAGACTCAAAAAATAGATTTAGAGCTCCCACGGTCAACTGTAGGCTTTCACACACCTAGTGCTCAGAATTTAAGCTCTAATACAGTCCATTGGGTCTAGAAGAGCCAGAAGTGACTACATGACACCTAACGAGAGGCTGGACAACCTGGGAGAAAAGTGTGAGTGGAACAAAACTGAGATGGTTAATGCTTATTGTGCCAACATGGCCAATGAACATATGTGCGATTAATTGAAGAGCAGAGAGATAAATGGCTCGGTGAACCTCGCCTCTCGTCTCTTGCTCTTTGACCATCGGACCAGTGTGCAACTGCCTTGCTTGTTCTGTGCCTCAATTTGCAAGCTACACTACCTGTGGGACACCTAACCCGTGGACTGTGTCACTAGAATTTGAGGTTCCTTCAAGACCTGCTTCGCCACACCATTGGAATTTACATCTCTTGAGCTGAGGACTGACAGACCCTGTCATCTGACTGACTGTTGGGCCTTGCTGTTTGCTGCCTGTGCCCAATAGCCTGAAGTGCTCTACAGAGGACTACCTGGCGGCCCTCAAGACTTGAAGGACTGCCAGTGTCTCTCAACTGTCTCACGGGAGTGGGTTGCACTGAGCCATTTGTACGGCTTTATAATTTACTTAACTGTTCATTTCTTATGTTACATATCTATCTATCTGTATAAATATATATAAAATTATTAGCGTTCTGGTTTTGTTTCTCTGGAGAAGCCTGTCTAACACAAAAACCTAACTGTGAAGTGCAGGTTTTCCCTGCAAAGTGCTGGCTTATTCTCTGACTCATCAGATAGGCCCTTTCCTCTGTGAAGAAGAAAGACCAGTCTTACAGCTCAGTGTGCATCTGTGAATGGCTTCCTGCCTGCCACTCTCCTCTCACCTGGGCTCTCTCCCTCCGGTCCCTTTAATCTTCATACTTCATGCAATCATCTCATGATATCTTTGTCTTCGTCCTCATAAACTTCCCATCACTGTCCATGATCTAAGAATGCTTTTAAATACTCTAGCATATTACCATTAGAAGAGATTCACTCAGTGTACAATGGGAATTAACTCTTCCAAGAGAAATAAAAATTAAATCATTGATATACACATTGAATTAACAACCTTACTAGATTCAGAAGTCTTAAGCTTTTGAATTAAACCTGAAAGTTGTCATGTCAGAGTTTTTTAAATGATGTTAGGTTGTAATATATATGTGCAGAGTACCATGAAGCCATTTATCTAACTGCATCAATTAATACAGGACTTGATTTTAGTTGTCCCAAAAGCAACAAGAAAGTTTTTAAATGTTACTATTGCTAAAAAGTAAAATAAAAAGGGAGAAAGCCTTGTACATGCAACATTGTTGGTGAATGGAGAACGTGAGAGCTAGTGGGCTTCAACCAGCTCCCTGGGTATACATTTAAGGTTCTGCTGCCATTCGTGTGACATGATAAGACAAGGAATTTTCCATTAAAGTCTTTTAAATGTTATCTAGGAAAAAATAAGATGGCTTTCCATCTTACAAAAAAAAGAAAGAAAAAGGGAGCCCTGTACCCTGAAACCACTGGCTTCCAAGCCTCACAGCCAGGTGTCAAGGGGCAGAATCCGGTCTCTAATAGCATTCTTGAAGGGTGGGGAGGATGGCTAGTTTCTTGGGTGGTAAAATACACCGAACCTGCCTCTCACCGCCCCAAGGTCGAAGCACAAAATCTTGGTACACACTGCCCAATCTGCCTGCCCCTTTACCACCCATACCCTGAGCATTGAAGGTTGCTAACCCTTCTAGATTCCTAGATCCCTTCCCGGGTCCCTTGGGCTTACAGCACCATTGCGCACCGTGCCCTGGGGCACTGCAGGGGTCAGGCCTGGCTCACACACCCCTGGTCCCTGTGAGCCACACAAGGACCTTTCCCTCCCTGCACCCTTCGCTTACATGAGCTTCCTGTCCACACCTGCCCTTGAGCGCCGGGCCTCCGAGCCCACGCAGCCTGCCCTGCGCCTGCGGGATGCGAGAGCCTGGTGCTGCCCGCGCCGGCGTCCGTTCCCTGCGGTCCCCGGGCCGGAGGCGGGCGACGCTGAGGCGCCCAGGCGCCTCGGCCAGTAAGAGGCGCGCGCGCGCGTGCGCAGCACGGAGCTTTAATCTGTCACCGCGCCTCGAGCGCGCGCGGCTCCCGCACGATGGGCACGCCGCCGACGCCCTGGCGCTTGTGCAGCTTCCTCTGCCAGGTGCGCGGCGCGGCGGCGGGCTCCAGGTTGGCCTCGGGGTCCAACTGGTTCTCCAGCAGGTGCAGGCGCGCCGTGGTCTCGGTCAGCATGTCCATGAGCAGCTCCAGCTGCAGTTTCAGGTAGTTGTTCTCCTCCAGCAGCATCTGGTTCCGGACCTCCTGCACGTGCTCCCTCACGCCGGGGCCCGGGGGCCTCGGCAGCCGCTCGTGCGGCCCCTCGGCGGCCCAGCGGCCGCGGCGGAAGACGAAGGCCGCGTTGCTCAGGCGCGTGCGCGGCGCGCCGTAGCAGAGGCCCAGCTCGGCCTGGCGGGTGCAGTGGTCCAGCAGGTAGAAGGTGGACATGGAGGAGATGCGGCGCAGTGGCGGCCGCCGCGGCGAGAAGCGTCGGGAAAAGTGGTCGGCCCAGAACTGGCGCAGCTGCGCCCACAAACGGCCAGCATGGCCCAGGTTCAGGTCCCTGAAGCCCTCCACAGCGGGATCGGGGCCAGCTGTGATGGGTGTGCTGTAGGCCAGGGGGGACCTGTGGGGACACAGGCGACCTGGGCCACGCCCCTGCTTCGGGAGCCAGAATGCCGAAGGCGAGCCAGGGGCCCTGCTGTGGGGGAAGAGTGTGTGTGTAAGAGGCCCAGGGAGCAAGCCCCAGGCGGTCCCCACACCCCGCTTGGCTTCCAGGACCAGGCTGGCCCTGGCTGTTTGGGCGTAGGGCTGACCGCTCAAGCTATCCCTGCAGATTCTCACCAGCTGCAGGCTGGCTGAGACCACCTTTCCCCAAGGGCCATGGATGGGCTGGGTACAGAGGTCTTGTAGACAGGGTGAAGGACGGACCAAGAATAGGATTTTCACCCACCGTGAGGGACAGCGTGGATGTAGAGTTGGGTGGGGTGATAGGCTGGGCTAGAAGAGGAGGGAGCTACAAAGGTGGACCTATGTGACTTTTTCAAAGTGTGAAGGTACTGCAAATTTAAAATTCTTTCTAAAAATAAATGGAAACTGCTCAATCCAGGGTGGGCTAGGGATTCTGGCAAGTATCTGGTGGGATGTCTAGCCTAACCAACACCATCACTGCCCCTGTTTACTGAGTCATTGGACAATGGTGAGGCTGGCTCAGGACGGGGCAGTGTTTCCTTCCGTGGTCCGTGGGATCTATAGGAGTAGGACCAGACTCTGTGACACACTGCCACACAACTGGCACCTGCTCTGTCAGGCCCTGGTCAGTGCAGATGGCTCTAACGTGGCCAGGGCCCCCCTCAAGCTGGAAGGCAAGTCTGGACAGATCATATCCGCTGTGCTCAGTGACAGATTGAGGGGATGTGTCATGGGCAAGGACCTATACTAGGGCTCAAGGTCATGGGGTGTGCAGACTAGACGTGACCATCATTCCAAGCTGGCTCCATCCTCAAGGAAGCTGAAGTTCAGCTATGAACAAGTCCCAACCCCCTGCCACCCAGAAAGTGCTGATCCTGTTGTTTGAGAAAGGGGGCTAAGAATTCTTTTCAAAATTCCTCTCGTCCCTCCCCCGTGGAGAGTGAAAAAGGAAAGAATTAGGGCAGGTTCCCTTGTCATGACTCCTTTGAATCAGTACTTGCCCTCATGCTTCAGTGGGGAGAGGCTGGGTGGTGCTATCCCCTACATCTAGGTCAAGGGGATCCTCTCTGGATGCCCACACAGGACCCAAGAGGTAGGACCAGGCCCACCCTTGAAGTTACGTTTTCTAGGAGGATCCTTCCCTGCAAATTGTGACTGCTTGCTGTGCCTTACCTGGAAGATGTGGTGGCAGTGCCAAGCTGCTGTCCTAGTCCTGGCCCCATCTCAAAACCACTCAGCTCTGGCCCAGCAGTTGTGTCATAATGCCTCCAAGCCGGCCTGGCAGAGGTGCTGGCAGCTGAGCTGTAAAACAGACTCTCTGCTCTCCACTCATCCACTCACTGCATTTACTGAGTGCCTCCTGCATTCCAGACACTGTCCTCAAGGGAAGAAAACACTCCCTCTTCAAGCTAACTTATTTGTGCAAGTACAGCATGCTCGAAGGGAACCCAGGGGATGGGGGCACGCCTTATAAGCACAGCTTCAGACAGGAACTTGTAGAGTTTATAGATCAGGCTCCTTATAAGCTGAGCCTAAGATGAGCTTTTTAAAAATAATCATGTTACTGGGGACTGTTACAACTCTTATAACAATCCATACATCAATCGGATCAAACACATTTGTACATATGTTGCCATCATCATTTTCAAAAGCATTTACTTTCTATTTGAGCCCTTGGTACCAGTTCCTCTTTTTTCGCTCCCTTCCCCATCCTCTCACCCTTGTGACCCCTTGATCAATTATTATTCTTTTAATATTTTACACTGTCCACTGTCTCCCTTCACCCGTGCTTCTGTTGTTTGTCCTCCTGGTTAGGGGAGGGAGGTCGTTTAAAGTGCATTATTGCTGAAGTGCTTGCAGGAGAAGAGAGGGAGGCAGGACAGGAAAGAGGGAGGTGGGCGGGGGGAGAGGGAGTGGAGGCAGGACCAAACAAAACACTGGAGACTAGCCTTAGCCTGATCCCAGGAGGGAGCTCTGATCACAAATCACACTGCAGAGTTGGGCTTCCCTAAGGCTAAAAGGCCTGCCTTTTGTATGCTCCCCACCACTGTAAAGTGGAACTGAGGAACAGGGAGGAAGACAGATGTAACTGACAGGACAAGGGAGAGCAGAAACAGAAATAGCTTTATTAGGGGGAGGGGGTGACCCGTCCCGCGGGTCATCAAACAACGTGGATACCTGAAAAAGGGACTGGGAATGAAGAGGGGCAAGAGACACGAGAAATCGAGGCAAGACAGGAGTCTGATCAAGCCTCGTTTCATTGAGCAGAAGGCAGAGGCTTAAATACTCAATGGTGGGTGGGTAACATTACATCATATGCTAATAAAGCGTAACAGGTAGTATCCAATAATCACGCAGCTACCAAATATGGAAGAAATGGCAGGCATCAGTCCTCAAACAGGTCCGCATGCAAATGAGGTGCACTTGGATGCCTGGCGGAGATGTCCAATGAGCATGGCGGCTGCCTGCCACCGAGCACCAATCATCACAAAGGCCAAACTCAGGCAGGACAATAGGCCAGGGAACATCCGGGAATGGGAAGCTTAAAGACAGCTGACGGCGCAGGCCATGGGCTGAGGGACGTGCAGACTCCCACGGGGGTGGGAAAGGTTCCGTGACCTAGGCCAACAGGTCAGGGAAGTCGTGGTCAGCAGCTGGGGGCAAGGGTTTTTAAAGGGGTGGTGAGGAATGTATGGCAGTTATGGCAATCAGCATATAGGGTCTGGAAACTCCAAGAATTGCTTGTTGACACCTCAGGGCTGTCTTTGAACCCAGAACATCTGGTTTCACTGGTTATCTTATCTGGCGGTTATCTTATCTGGCGCTGTCTGCTGGTGACCTCTGGGACGTGCAGGGAAGCACATGTAGGGCCTGGACCTACTTCAGCTTAGTCCAAACTGGGGCTGCCTAGTTCGGACCCGGCCCAAACATTCCAAACTTTTCAATTAATCATTGGCAGGGGCTGCTGTGAGTTCTAAACACTTATGGGACCCGTGGAGTGGGTGCGCTCCCAGTGAAAGAAATCTGGGTGTGGCACTGAAGCATGGAAAGGAAGAATGAGTGGATCACAAAACTGAAATAAGCATTTTGGGGTTGTGATATGAACAGTGAAATAAAGCAGAAATAAAGAAAGTGAGGCAGGGTGAAGGTAGGAACTAAACATGATGCTCAAGGAAGCCACAGCATCCATGCTGAGCCCTGACTGAGCAGGGGGATAAGACCTCAGTCGCATGAAGATTTGGCGGGATAGAGTTTGGCATATGGAAGAGTGCACCCTGTGTTGGAGCAGCAAAAAGGGGGAAAGAAAAAAAAGTCTGTGTCACTTGCCAGGTTCACCCCAGTTGTCTGCCCTCACGTTTACTTTAGATTCCCTTCACCAAAAAAGGCATGGGCCTCCTCGGATACATCCCAGTCAACCTAGCCCACCAATGTCCACATCCAGCTCCAAAGCTCACAGTCAGGGTCAGGCTTTGGAGGAGCACCATCTCTTGGGCACTAATCTCTCTCTCTCTTTTTGTTTTGGCTAACAGTCTTATTGAAGTTTAGTTGGCAGTAATATATTGTATGATTTAAAATGGATAATTTGATACACAAATTCAACACCATAAGATAAAGTGTCCATTACTTCCAGAAGTGTCCTCTTCTTTCACCACCATAGATTAATTTGCCTTTTGTAGAATTTCATAGGAGTGAAATTCTGCCATCCTTCCCTCCTCCATAACTTCTTTCAGCATAATTTGAGATTCTTGTTGCATGAATAGCTTATCAATATTTCATTTCTTTTTATTGATGAGGATTAGTTCATGGAATGGAAATAGGCTCACTTGATTTTTCTATTCACTATTGATGGAAATGTGCCTGTTTCCACTTTGAGGAAACAAAGCTTATTACAAATAAAACTTTGGAGCATTAGTTTGCAAATCTAGGTGGGTATATACTCTCATTTTTCTTGAGAAAATATTTAGCAGTGGAATTGCTAGGTCATATGATGAGTGTATGTTTAACATTTTGTAGTTGTTACATAAACTGGTGTCAATTTGAGGATTTAGAGTGTAGGGGTGGAGTCTAGCCTGTCAATCAAGATATAACCAATGAGGCCTCTGTGTGGGCATGGCCTTCTCCTGATAATTCTGGGAAATCTGTATTTTCCTCCTTAGAGAAGGAGAGACTCTCTCTAGTCACTCCCCGGGAGACTTTATATCTGACAAGACACCTGGAACTGCACTAGTGCCCTGACCTGGAGAAGCCATGTGGAGACCCCTAAGATGCTTACAATGCCACTGGACCCAAAAGACTTTGCACCCACTGGCCTGTGATTGTCCTGCATTTGGCTCATTGCATTTGTTTCATTAGTCTGAAGAGGACTTTATAGATTGGTATCAGACATATGGGTTAATAACGGACTTATGGACTTGATCTGGGCTGGGCTGGGATGTTTTCTCAATATTCAACTGCTCTTGTATGTAAACTTCTTTCTTATTTGCATGCTTATGAATTTGTTTCTCTAGTCTACCCGTACTAACACACATTTTAAGAAGTGGCAAAACTTCTTACCATGGAAACCCTATAGGGTATTTCTCCTCCTCCCTATGATTTGGAATTGACTGATGGCAGTGGATATTTATATATATTTAAGCAATGAGTGAGATTTCCTGTTTCACTACATCCTCACCGACACCTGGTATGGTAGATCTTTTTAATGAGTTTGTAGTTGCATCTTACTGTGGCTTTTGCTTGTCCTTCCATAACGATTAATGATGTTGAGCACTTTTATGTGGGCTCATTAGTCATCCACTTTGGTGAAGTGGCTGTTCAAATTTTTTGCACATTTCTAAAATTGTATTGTCTTATGGAATTAGAGAAGCTCTTTAATGCTAGCTATAAATCCTTTGCCAAATATGCTTTACAAATATTTCTCCAACTGGTAACTTACCTCTCTTTTCATTTTCATAACTGTGTAGGGGAAGCAAAAGTCTTAAAGTCTAATGTATCAATTTTTTATAGCTTTTGTTTTTTTGCTAAACAATTCTTTGTGATGAGGGCAGCAAATGTACATATGTGCTTGACACAATGGATATATGTATGGATTGTGATAAGATTTGTATGAGCCACCAATAAAATTTAAAAAAAAAAAAAGAATTCTTTGCCAAGTTCACCTCTAAATTTTCTCATAGAATTGTTGTAGTGTTTAGCTTTCACGGTTAGGTTTATCCTGTATTCTGAGTTATTTTTTGTTTATGGTGTAAGGTAGGGATTGGTGGGTTTTTTTTCCGTATCAATGTCAAATTGACCCAATACCATTTATAAAAATGGCTAACCTTGCCCCACTAATTGCAGAAGTGTTTGTTCATTATGTGAAAATGTATATATGTGGGTCTGTTTCAGGCTCTCTACCTTCCCTCCTTTGCCTTTTTATCTGTCCTTGCACCAATGGCACATTTCCTTTATTTTTGTACAATAAGTTCTGGTGTATGATAGTGTGGATTTTCCAGCACTAGTCTTTAAGATTGCTTTAGTTTTCTATGTCTTTAGAATTAGAATGTCAATTTTCACAAAGAAGCAGTGATTGCCACTGTTCGCAGCTCCTTTTTCCTGTTATTAATCAAAGCCCAAATCATCAGAAGGTTGTTATATGGCATGGAATCAGAACCTAGGGTTGGGGAAAGGAGACTCTCAAAAACAAAGCCAAACTTGTTGCCATTGAGTTGACTCCAACTCCTAGTGACTCTGAAGGACAGAGTAGACTCAGTGGGTTTTGTGAGACTAAAGTGGTTCTCAGCCTTCCTAATTCTGTGACCCTTTAATGCAGTTCCTCTTGTTGTGGTGACCACCCCCAACCATAAAATTATTTTTGTTGCTACTTCATCACTGTCATTTTGCTACTGCTATGAATCGGGTGACCCCTGTGAAATGATTGTTTGACCCCAAAATGGGTCACAACCCCTCAGTTAAGCAGTGATTTTATTGTTGAAGTATATACACAAATTTATGCATCCAGGGATGAGGCTGTGGATAATTTATACTTCCAATTAGGAAGGAGAACTCTCTCCGTTTTGTAGTATCAAGCCAATTGGTAAATTTGACTCTCAATCAGAATCAGCAGGAATTTAGCTTCCTTAGCTTTTCTGTTCCTCTCCAGATGCTTCCAAACAGCCACAGGCATCTTTGTCAAATAGTAGAGATCTTCAGGAAGATCAGGAGCAACTCCGTGGGATTTAGGGAT